TCTTCTGTGCTCTTTCTGTCTTCTTGTCAGCCTTGGTGTCAAAAAAAACTCTCATCTTAAGTTGATTTGCTTTGTTTCTGTCTCTTCTGTGCTCTGTCTGTCTTCTTGTGGGCCTTGGTGTCAAGAAAACTCTCACCTTAAGTTGATTTGCTTTGTTTCTGTCTCTTCTGTGCTCTTTCTGTCTTCTTGTGGGCCTTGACGTCAAAAAACTCTCATCTTAAGTTGATTTGCTTTGTTTCTGTCTCTTCTGTGCTCTTTCTGTCTTCTTGTGGGCCTTGGTGTCCTTGGTGTCAAAAACTCTCATCTTAAGTTGATTTGCTTTGTTTCTGTCTCTTCTGTGCTCTTTCTGTCTTCTTGTGGGCCTTGGTGTCAAAAAACTCTCATCTTAAGTTGATTTGCTTTGTCTCTTCTGTGCTCCTTCTGTCTACTTGTGGGCCTTGGTGTCAAAAAACTCTCATCTTAAGTTGATTTGCTTTAAGTTGATTTGCTTTGTTTTTGTCTCGTCTGTGCTCTTTCTGTCTTCTTGTGGGCCTTGGTGACAAAAAAGTTCTCATCTTAAGTTGATTTGCTTTGTTTCCGTCTCTTCTGTAATCTTTGTGCCTCCCATGCACCTCGTAGTGATGCAAGTGGTGCTGTGGAACGCCGCCGACTTTTTTAGCATGTTCTCTGTCATTTTTGTATCCGATGCCCTTGTGGAAAGTCGGGGCCCAGTTTGTCAAAAAACAGTGCATTAATGATCCCAATAAGTCTTATTTTTCACTGTGTTTTACAGTGTTTTATGCACATTGCCCTTCAAAGCCTTTGAATGCCAGAAAACAATAAAAACATCAAACATTGCCTCCCGTGCAGGTAAAATGCAACTTTTTGAGGGCAAATAAGCTCAACACAAACCCACCCAAAGCCACTTTTTACTGTAAATTACAGTGTTTTTTGCACCTTCGATCCTGCCTCAAGACACCCCAAAAGTCTGCAAATCAAAATCTCGAACTTTCACCCCCCCCCAACCCCCCCCCAGCAAAACCTACCGGGGAGCAACTCAAAGCGATATTCATCGTTTTCCGTCATCAGCTTGGCCCCCCCCCCCCCCCCCCCCCTTCCCTTTTGGTAATACTTCCAAGCGCTACAGCGCTTTCCGTCATCAGTCTCTTGATTGCTTCTAGCTTGCAGTTTCTGAAGGACAAATCCCATGGCAGCTGTGTGATGAACCCATAATAGCTTTCAAAGTGGTCCATCGAAGAAACTCTCACCCAAGTCTACGAGCATGATCCAGGTGTCTGACGAAAAGGAAGCAAATCTCTGATCTGCAACTGTTGACTGCCCAGTGCCTGGCAGTGAGGTACGAAGGCTTCGGGGTGTCGCGCCACTTTGGCATGGCATTAATTTACTGCTTCAGTTTTCAGAGGGAAGAGTGGGCCTTGCTAAAGCTAGCAGGGTTGTCATAGGAAGTTAGTAAGTGCAAACAGCAGCCAAAAAGCAAAGGTCCTGAGCCTGAGACGTTATCCTTTTATATGCAAAGACCTCTTAAGAGACTACGCGCCTATCCTATTCTTGTCCGCTACATCAGTCTGTGTGGCTGTGGTAGTTGCGTGGTTGTTCTTGCAAAGCTCTTGGTGAGAGCAAAGGACCAATGCAATCAATGCCAATGTTCTTGGTGGCTGACTTGGTCTGTGGCCATGTTCAGCAGCTTGCACAGGCCTCAGAATGCGAGGTTGACCATGCCATCTGCTCCCTTGACATGCCCCTTTGATACCTTTCTTGTTACAATCCCCTATCTCAGAGAATCCGAGCAGCTTTGCATTCTTTGTGCAAGCTCTTGTGGTGGGGCACTTTCACAGCCACTAGCACACAGCATCACGTGAGCGCCTGCAAGACGAAAGAATCTGCCAATGAACGTGCAGTGTGCCCTTTGATTGCTTCTCTGCAACAACCAGAGTGGATCGCATCAAAGGAAATGCAAAAGTAATTAATAAGGCGTGAAGAAAGGGAGGTGGAACAAGTGAAGGAGTTAACGCAAGACGAAGAGACAGGTGAAAGAGCTTAAAGAGGCATTGAAACGCAGAAGAGGGCAATGGCAAAGTGGTTCATGAAACACACAGACAGGCCCAGAGGCTATCAATTCCACGACACTGCGGAAAGAGACACTTGGCAAGAGTAGCATCACGGTGGAGCCGCTGAGGCTATGACCAAAATAACCCGCCAAGGGAATCAACGTTTCAATCTGTCGAGCCAAACAGATTGATACAATCTAATTTCGGGACGCCTCTAGAGCCAACACAGTCGCTAAAGCAAAAGCAGCTCCATCTAGCTAGCTCTTGTGAAAATCCAAAGGTCCTTATGTTCGATTGTGGCAGTCCGCCGTGAAAAGTCGCTGTAAGCACTCGGCAGATTCTCCCGCATTGGAGCCTTCCAAAGCCTCGTTGGCAGCGATGCCTTGGTTCAAGGGCCTGTGAACGTCAAACAACCCTGAAAAAGTTTCAAATCCTCTGAATCCATATTAAAGAGTCTGTGGTTTGCAATGTGTAAGTAGAAACGATGCCTTATCACACGAAACATTAACTTACAAGTGGAAATACATACGAACAAAAAATCCAAGGCAAAGTCACTGAGTTGCAGTTGTAGGATATTTGTACTCTACATAGAATATTACTTGCATGTTGAATCTTTTCTGTCGACATATGACCTTTCGTGGCATCTAGAAATGCTCTTATTTGTTCACCTTGGTATACTCTCTTGACCCGGGCCAAGACACAAGCTTCCACAACAGAATTGAACTCGTTGAAGTGAACAGCGCTGCCTCAAAAGGAAACCAACACCGGCCTTCCAACAAACTATCTGCTTAGCCTTTGCCCCTGAGGACACCATCCTTATTTGCTCCTGAGGGAACTACTGCAAACCTTTCAACTTTTGGACTGCACGCTACAACGAAGACACCCTGATACTCACCTTGATGTTCTCCTCTAAGACCTGAGGCTGCTGGCAACAGCCGTCCCTTTAATTTCTTTGCTGTCTCCCTGGCCTCCAGCACGGAGCTGTTCCAAGAGACCTTCCATGATCTCTTCCGGAAGTGCAGCTCCAAGGATCCGAAGGAACGAATCGCAGACCTGTAATTCCCACCGCGCGCATGTGCATCGCGACTCTTGGAGCTCTTGGCAAAACGCGCTCCAAAACCGCCGACCCCTACAGTACATGGGGCGGCGCCTAGGATGTTGCCTGCTTTTGCAGCTGCCGTGGCTTCCACACCTCTGTCAGTGGGTTTCGAAGCTGCTGTCTGGCGCCGATTTTTGGGCGCACAATGATTGAGGCCGTGGGATCTTTTTCGGTGGGCCGCTTTGCGCCCCTTACACATCTCTTTCATCAGACATTTAAACTGTCGTCTGCACCTCTTTCAGTGCGTTTCTGCTGCCTTGCACCCTTTCCCGGCGTAAATGGGCTGAGGCTGTGGTCGGTCTTTTCCGTGGGCGGCTTCTGAAGCTGTTTTAGTGGGTTTCGAAACTGCCGATTGGATGCCCTTTCTGCCGCTTTTGGGGGCAGAACTAGATGGGCTAAGGCCGTGGTGGGCTGTCCTTTTTGATCCAACCTCTGCTTCAGCCGCCATGACGCTGGCACCGCTTGCCCACAGCAAGCGAAAGCTGTAAGAGGACTGCCAAAAAGGCAGCTAACAGAGCTTGCCGATGCATATTCGTAGAATTCAATAGGACATTTGGATGTGTATTATGCATAGAAAACATCAAAAAATATTGGTTGCGGGTCGCTTTCAATGTCATTTACCACATGACGGCAGGGGTCGGCAGCACCAGGGCATTAGTCCATTCTATGGGCACTCCCAAGCGACCAGGTCATTTTGTGGTGAACTTGCTACAAAATGCGCTTTCCCAAACACTACTTACTTGCACGTCTTTGCCTGCAATTGCAAAGTCTCTGCTTTTGGACGCTTGAGGGAGACGAAGGTTGAGTACACATTCTCCTGGAAGAAGACACAATGCCGCGTGGAACGTAGCTACACAGTCTCTAGCTTCTGCAGCTTGTTCTTGGTTGTGATCAATCTAAGAAGTGATCTAGCTTGAAACGTGACAAAAGACCTTCACATGAACAGCTCTCAGGTGGGAAATTCCGTTCCCTCAACCCTTCCCGAGATTTGTAAGCTCCTGAAAGCAGCCTCGTGAACGTGGGCAAGCATTCCTTAGATGTCACGCTTTTCGCATAATACAGAACCTGTTTCTTTGCCGGTATGCTCAGGCTGTCTTGGGTCCAAGCTTCAGCAAATAGGCCAACGCTTCCATGCTGTCTGGTTGTGCAGCGCGGCGGAAATATGCCAGTAGAAATCTGAACGAGTTCGTGCAAGACTCTCATAAGAAACACATCGAAAGTGCGGCTATACTTTATTTCTAAATTTCACATGCCCTTGTTCGTATCTGAACGTGCTGCACTCTGATCCTTTGTTTCTTGAAATCCTGGCTAGAAGGTGCTCTGGAAACATACGAACGATTGACATGAGATGCAAAAAGGCAGCCCTTTCATGCAGCCAAGTGTCATCAATGGATTTGCAGGCCGCACTTCTAGAACCGCAGCCAAGGCTTCCTTGAGGGATGCCACCAGCTCGGGTGATGCCTCCTTCTCCATGGCATGGCTGCTGGGCATCAGTTTTTCTTGACCAATTCTGCGTTGAGTTGATGCGAAAAGTTCAGGCACATAACCAACGTCTAGCAAGCACAACTGCTGATGAACATCGGATGTTTAGAAAGTTGCCCGCCTATGTGTTTGCCTCATCAGCACTCGGCTCTTAACATCGTTAACCCCGTGCTGTTTTCACTCATGCTAGTTTGTACTAGACGGCTTTGGTTGGTTGTGGGCTCACCACATTTTGCTGCGCAAGGCGCCTTGCCCCTTCAGAGACTGGACACGGACATTTGCTTGTAACGTCAACACTTGAAACCTGAACGTCTCATATCGGGATAAAAGCCTAAGTATTTCTTCAGATGAGTAGGTCTTACCTTGAACAACTGGAAGGAAACAACGCAGAATAAACTTAGAAACTGCACGGCCGGCCTCTCCCTGAACATTTACTATGACCCTGACAAACACAGTGTCAAGGGAGTACATTGTCAATGGTTGACACGAGACCTTTGAATTGCTGAACCTGCAAGAAGATGCCCCTGGTTCACCACAAAGCACCTCTTCTAGGACACGCCTTTGGGGTCCCAGCAGAACTTCTGTCCCTCAGCTTTGCCCATCTCCTTGGTGGAGCAGTGGCCACAACAGAGGCCACACAGCTTCTCATAGCCTCATGCTTTTACGAGAAAATGAGATGTAAAAAAAGGACCTTCACCATCTTCTTTCACCTCTTTTTCTGGTCTGCGGATTCTTTGGTGCCCCGAGATTGGGTCAAGCACGTGATGAATCCGGTGACGAGCTTTGTGAAAGCCTTCATTAGTTGCAATCGTGCAGCTGAAATGGTGTGCATCTGCTCTTGACTAAGCTGGAAGTCAAAAAGGTCGAAGTTCTCATGGATCCGGTCTGGCTTGCTGCTTCGAGGAATGACCATAAAGTCCTGAAGTCCATTGATTGACTCTTGATGTCATGCAACAGCAGTCTGCTCCCTTCTTTGAAGGCTTCTGGCTCCTGCTGAAGGGCCCAACGCAACAGCACCTGTGCAGATGTCTTCCCAGTCTCTTTTGCAATCGCCTGCACTGTTGGGTGAGTCAGCAGCAACCTGCCATGGCACTCAAACACTTGGCTGTTGATGTCATGTCAGACTATAAAAGCCGGATGTTGTCCTCCAGAAGTGCCACAAGGAATCCGCTTTCCACAACAGCTGTTGGTCAACATGCTTGAATACGTCTTACAGAGTTTTGCACCTTGGGTCTAAAGCCTAAAGTTCGGCTTGACACCACGTCTGGCTCTCCATGCCATCTACACTCCAAAAGCAACACCACATTAAACTGAAATGACCAGCCCAGAATATACTGGACGCCACACCACCAGGATACCAACAGCAATTCTCCCCCGAATCTCGATTAATCCCAATCGTCCCGCCTGGTACCATCGATTTCACCATCTGACGCTCTGGCCCTGTTGCTGGCGCTGCCTCCACCCAGCGGCGAATAGGCCTCCAACTGCTGGTTGAGAAACGACTTACTTCGAGCTATCCCCACTCAACCAGGCTTCTTTTCTCTGGGTCATGGGCTGTCCGCCACGGTAATTTGCTGGGATACAGGGTTAGGCCACTGACAGGACGCTGGCAGGATAACTGGAATTGAATGCTGCCAAGCTTTAGTCACTATTCTTTTTGTCAGTCATTGTGCAACATGCACTTTGAAGCAGAAGTTCAAAGAAAAGACTCAAGATCCGACTACCCGACAGGGCCCCAATCCTAGGTCCTGGGATAGAAGGGTTATATATACTGTAACTCAGAAGATCGTACTGGAATGCGGCAGCAGTCCTTGTTTCCGCCCTGCACTCTTAAATGCATCAGTGTCAGTCGACCTCGATAATGATGCCATGCTTGCGACAGAATTCGATGGTCCTTGGAAGCCAACACAACCTGCAAAGCACTCTATATAGTTATATATAGTTCATTATGGTTCTTATCATGCAATGCAAGGCCAAGTCGCTCAGCTGGCTGGTATAGAGGATGTAGCTCCTTGCAATCAAAACAACACTCCAAAACAAATGAGATGCTTCCCTCACCTCCGCCATGTCCCAGTCTTGCCAGAATGTGTCACAATATGTCACAATGGGCCTTTCTTCGCTACCAAGCATCAATCTGATTGACCATGGGAAGCACTTCGATCCCATCCTGCTATCAAATCTTCTCTCAAGGAAACCTTCTCTGATCTTTGATCAAGCCTTCTCTGAATCCTGACCCTTTGACGATCTGCCAGGATTCAGCAGACGGATCAATCGTAGGCCAAAGCAGGCCTATAAGCTTAAGTAGCTAGTACCCAAGACGCGGGAAACCTCAGGCTTCTTCAGAGGCGCCTGAAGAAGCCGCAGGTTCAGAAGATTTTGGGGGGAATTTGATTCCTCAATAAGCTGCTGCAAATGGCTGGCCGTGAAGTTGCTGACGCCAATGGCACGGACCAGATGTTGCCTGGACACAGCCCAATGAGTCCAATGTTCAAGTCTCAATACAAATGAACACGGCGAGGAAGTACTATCATATGACCGCAACATGCTTGCTTCTGCCTCTCACACTGTCATTCAGAAACGGAAACACCGCCTTTGCCTATAGAGTTCCTCCATAGCTTTCCAGGTCTCATGGCGCGCACGCCGGTGCAAAGGTGAGGTATGAGGCTTCTTCGGCACGCCCTCAGGTGTAGGGTGTTTGAACTTAATGCACTGGATGCTGGGGTTGATAGGTCTCATCAATGCTGAACTAACTGACTGACTGACTGACTGACTCACTCACTCACTCACTCACTCACCCTCCCTCCTGCCTGCTGATTTATGACCCGAATGTGCTCGTGTATTCTTGCACTTGTAATTCAAGTTTTACTGGCAAATACATGCACTTAAACAAATTTGAACATACATACAGGACTTCTTACGTTCCGTAAGAAAATGCGCGATCTCTACATGCAAAATAGCGGCTACCCATTCAAATTTGGTCTTGATGTTGTTCCAATTTCATGAAAGGTGCTGGCCAATGAATCAGATACAAGTCCAGCTTGTTTCGACCTTAGACTCTCTGTGCAGCTGGTTTATGCAGTTTGCAAGCACTGTTATTATTGGAAGATCTATACCAAAGGACATGCTATTGCTTTGGTCAAGGCTCTCAGGCTATGGATGGCTATGCAGTAGTTGTTCCCATTCGCATGAGATGAATGTCAGGATTCTGCCCGTTGGAAATATCAACCGAGAGACCAAGGCGTTCCAACGATTTTCTGCACGCCTCCTGGGCCTTGTCAAAGCCCATCTCGTAGGGCGAGCATTTCGATGTCACAAACACACCTATCGCAGGTTATCATGACAGGACAAATCCAAGGAAGAGATTGCGTGCGTGTCTTGTGTGATATGAATCTGCGACTGGAACCAGTCCAAAATTTCTGAGACGTGATCCGGAGAAGCTCCAAGACAGGGTTGCGAATCACGAATCATGATACCGAATCACGCATCACAAATCACAAACGAATCACGGATTACGAATACCGAGTCACGAAACCAATCAGGAACCGCGAAGTACGAATCATACAGTAAAAAGGAATCGCGAATCGCTCGGCTGGGTAACGAATCACGAATCATGCGGCTGAGTAACAAATCACGAAACACAAATTTCTGGACTTATTGCATGCCCCTCACATGCACTTGCGATACCATGGTCCGATGCCTTCATTCTTGCCCTCGAGGGCACGCCCCACAGCAGCTTCGTTCTTGTAAATAGAGGCCGTGTCAAACAGCTGACATCCTTCCAATTTAGATGTCAAGCAGTTCAACAAATGTTCGTAGCGATCACTGTCCTGCTTTCAAGGCAGCTGTCACAGCAGTCTCCTTGGATGTGAAAAGAAGAGCTCTGGACCGCAAGTCTCAGACTTACAAAGTTCGATAGCTCGCACTTCCCTTGTGTGACTGCTGCGTTTGTGAGAGCGTAGCGTGGCTCAGAAATGGCTGTGGTCGGCACAACCTTTCAAGACTTCAAATTCTGCCAAGCCTCACAGGTTGAGGAACCATCCTGCCAAGACGCACCATATGTTTTGATTAATACATCCTCACATGTTTAAGACCTGTTTCCTGCATTTATCGATGGTTGGTCGGGATACGCATGGTTGAATACGCATGGTTGCCTGCCCGTACAGCTGCATCTACCAGGGTCACGGTTGTACTCGGAAGCTGGTATTCGGAAACTACAGCGTGGTATTCGGAAACTGATATTCGGAAACTGCCCGGTTGTATTCGGAAACTAAACAGTTGTATTCGGACACTGGATGGTTCTATTCGGAAACTGGACGGTTGTATTCGGAAACTAATGTTCGGAAACTACGAAGAGCAACACCAACACTATTCACGGAGATCCTCAACTTTTCACGCAACTATCCACCTACAGTATGTTTATTGCCTCCCCCACCCCCCCACCCCACCCCCACAAATTTTATAGAATATGAGGAACATAGTTTCTGAATACCACGAAATCGTTTCTGAATACAACGAAATAGTTTCTGAAGACTAGTTTCTGAATACGGCGCAGTTTCTGAATACGACTTTGTTCATTTACCAGGCATCCTGTCCCTGTGAAAGCTAACTTGAAATGCATCCCTGCATGCTTCTGTTTCGTGAGGGCCAGCCCTTCCAGCGTGCTTTTAGGAGCAAGGACGCTACGAGGGGCGCCTTTTTGTATATATATTATTTGTCAATGGGGCTCCGCAGTTTGGCTGCCTGACCTGCTCTTCTCTTCGCTTCCTCGCTCTTGAGCCTTGTCATCGAGCTGCCATGTGCCCATGCCCAAGCGGGGGAGCTCAAGTCCGTTGGCCAATCGGAGGCCTCAGAATGAGCCACAAAGTCGAACATCATTCACGTGAGTGAAGAAGTATCACCTTATTGGAACCGGAATTTCCTGCAACGAATCCGGTTGCAAGAAAGTCCAATTGTGCGGAAATATTGTGTCTTTAAAAGTTTCTCTGGAGCAGTCTGCCTCTTGGGCACGGGACAAGGAATATTTGGGATTCTTGGGATGCCTGACATGGTGGCTTCTTCAGCTAAGGAGCAGGCTAGACAGGCAGAAAGGCTGGCAAACATGGGAACAAGGACTCAGAGTGTGGGTAAGATCAAGATGGAGCTTCCAAGTCCAACAATCCTTCTTTGGCACACAGTATGACAACATTGAATCTGATGAGAGTACCAATGGGGTATGTCCTGGCTGCAGAGTTTTCTTCAAAATTGCGTCTGGAGCTGTTGGCTCGGTCACGCACTAATGATCACTAATGACCTTCATGTTTGGGAAAGGCTGCAAGATGCCGCAAGGAAAGTATGAGGAAAAGGAACAGTCGAATTTGAAATGCTACAATTAACCAAGATTCTCGATGACAACCGGCTGCTTCCCGCCTGAAAAAGGTCTTGCAGTTTCCAATTCAAGCATTGAAGCTGCTGCATTGGCCGATGGCCAAAAACATGTAATATATAGGTGAAAATGCAGTTGAAGCTTTGACATCTTGAACTGAACGAAGCAAAACGCGGTGCCTGCAGAATTTTCTGGAACATTTCCAAGCCCGGGCAATTCTCGCAACCTTGATATATCTAAAGATTCCACATTCTTTCAACCAATGCAAAAAGCCGCTGTTAAACACGTGCCTATGTCTATGTCCAAGAAACACTGCCGTTTGTTTGGCAAACATCCAATTCATCCAAATCGTGTAAGCTTCCAACCAGCGGGTGTGAACCAGACCAAGCTAAAGCGATCTCCTTGGAAGGGCTTTGTCCAATGCCTCTGGGTCCAGCCATTGAACTCCAGTGGTTTGTACCTGCACACAACGGACATTACAGTAGTGTGAGCAGGATAGTAAGTGCAGCAGGACAGGTTGACCTTGGAGCTGCAATACCCCAGGGAAAACCAAACTCTTGCAGCTTAGTCTACAAAGCCCCCAGCTGAGTTGTTCAATGCTTGCCTGATGTCGTGGCTATCGTTTTCCACACAGAGCTCACCACCAGAGTAGTCGCCCAGCCCAACTATCAAGGAAATGCCTTGACCTGTTCAAAAGTGTCACAGGTCAAAACCAATGTGTCCATATGGCTCGTCCACTGCAATCATTCTGAAGCTGCACTTCCGAGAACCATCTAAACACGCATACTAAAATCGAATCCGTGAATAATTACAAAACAATACGCGGAGAATGAACTAAGTAGCGCCACCAAAGTGTGCAAGAAAGTGCCTGCACCAGCTCCCGAGTCGATATGGGGGAGGAATTGAGCTCGCTTGTTGATGGCCTAGGATTGCCATGTACTGCTCCCCGTACAAAAAACAATTTCACTTTCACTCATTGACTAAGTGAGGTCGATGCCTCAGAAAATCAAAATACAAAAAAAAATAATGCATGCTTGGCCCAGGCACGATCGTGCTGCTACATCTTCCCGGCTTCAAAATGCGCTCCAATTCAAAGCAACGCATTGCCAGTTCCGGGAAGAGTCGGTTGCCGTTAGGAGCCTGCGAACGAACAGCTTCGCTCAAGTCGCGGAAAGCTGCTTTTGTAAGTTCAACTCAACACCAAAAAAAGCACCAATAGTGTGCTTGGTCCTAGAAGCGATGCCAGGAGCCCCTAGTAGCGCCTTGCTCCTAGTAGTAAGGCCAGGAGCCCCTAGCAGCGTCCAAGGCCCTAGATACCGTACAACACAGACAATACAAGTATTCTATGTCCAAAGAAGGGTTCATGATGTTCATTGCCATGTCAAAGAGATCCGTCATCCATTTGGATTCGCCATCCAGCCAATGCTCAACATCGCCTCCATGGAAGGGGGGCATGGAGCCAACAGTGAAGGACCCGTGCTCCCCTGCCGAGAGATCCAAGTGCAATGTTTTCTTATTTTCTTGCTGGTTCAGAACAAGTTGCACTCAAAGCATTGGGAGTCAGTAAGAGATACAAAGCTCGGGACTGCTGCTTTTGATGCTTTGCATGTCCAAGCTCCATTGAACTGATTGATGAAGCATGAGGAAGCAAAAACTACACGCACTCCACTTCCCTCCCAGCCCGACGCTGGGATAAATGGCCCATCAAAATCAGTATGTGTCAAGCAAAGCTATGCCTTTTGGGGACACAATAGGAGCAAAGGGCATCGCTACTAGGAGCAAGGACGTTACTAGGGGCTCCTGGCATCGCTACTGGGAGCAAGGACGCTACCAGTGGCTCCTGGCATCGCTACTAGGAGCAAGGATGCTACTAGGGCCTCCTGGCATCGCTACCAGGAGCAAGGACGCTACTACAGGCTCCTGGGATCGCTACCAGGAGCAAGGACGCACTAGGGGGACTTGAACACATTCTTTCACAGCGCCAAACCCACGGCCTTCTGAAGCTTTGATGACTTTCTCTCTGCCCTGCGGCAGCAGCAGGCTGTCTGATTTGTATACAGGTACATGTAACTTGGCTGACTGTCTTGATCAAGCTCCTGCAGAAGCCCAACTGTGGTGTGGGTTTGAAAGAACTGCAACTAGAGTTTTCACATTGCACACCTTCGAACAAGCAGGCCACGTGCCACTTCGCTCTGCTTCTCGAAGGAGCCGAAGCACTTCGGCATACCTCAAGGTGTACTGGCTATGCTCATTCGGCACTGTCTGCAGCAGTACACTCCAGGACACAGACTACCCGTGAAGGTTCTTGCATTGCCGTAAGCTTATGACCGACGAAGGCAAAACATAGCTTGTCCCCAAAGTAATTAATCCATCAGCTAAAATCCACGGCAACTCACTAGCGATGTTCGCCAATGCCAACCAAACAGTCACACTGGCTTTGCTGCTAAGTCTCGCCTTCGGGACCTAAACAGAATCAACAACAGAACAGGATCTAATTTACAGTCTGAATGCTAGATGTTCATATCCACATTGCTGCAGCCCTGCCTCTTGCTTCACATCCGGAACCTCTGCACTTGTGTCAGCTGGTTTCTTGTTGTTGAATTCCACGGAAAGCTTCTGTGTCAAAGGCACCTGAGTCCCCAAACTCTAAAGTGGAATCTCTTGGCTAAGCTCCTCGTCTGTGCTCGGCACCAGTTGCTCTTCAAACCAGGTCTGGAAGACTTTGTCCAGGAATTCCTGTGCTATCTTTTCTTCCACCTCGTCAACTCGAACGCAAAACAACATGGACGTACTGAGCACCAAGAATCCAAATCCAATCTTTTGAATAAAAGTGAAAACCTTGATTGAACAGGTGCATGAAGCAGCTCAATGAAGAAAAATATCGAGCACCTTCTTCTGGAAGTTTTGTGCTTCTTCACCCTCGAAAAGTGGCTGGAGGAGGTGATGAAAATCCTTTCCTTGCAGCAACATTCACCAAACCCATGGAGGATCGTACCAAGCGACCGTGAAGCAATTTGTATCTGAAAACACAAATAATCCATGGTGCACTCTGTGTGTGTGTCCACACTTGTACCAAAGGACTTTTAACATTGTACAGTGCAGGGGGCCGGAGCCAGGTGGGGGGCCTCCGGCCAATGAAAACACCCCCCACCTGGGTGCAAACGCACCTGCGTTTTTCCAATTTAGATTTAATCAAGCTCCAAAGTGCTAGTGCAAGTCAAAGTCTAACTGCGTGTAAAGGTCTACCTGCAGTAAAGTGGAACTTCACCAACTCATTCAGCTCTTGTAAAGTGCTAATGCAAGTCAAGGTAAAAATGCGTGTAAAGGTCTAATGGCGTGTCAAGTGGAATTTCACAACTGTTTCAGCTCTTGCGAGCATCAATCTAAGTGTGTTTCGCCACAGAGTCCCGCTGCGGGCGGTGGTGTGATCTCCAGTGAGGGGCGCAGCATGTGCACATGCCCTTAAGGGTGACCCCGCTGATCCTTCTGACTGCACGTGATCTTCATCGTGGACCTTGCTCGATCCATCGTTCTGCTCGAAAGTGCCGACCATACGCCGCAGGGCTTACTGCGATCAAATTCCAGAAAGGCCTACATCATGCTGCTAAGTATTCACACGTCACGCTGCTAAGTATTCACACGCCATGCTGCTAAGTATTCACATGTCATGCTGCTAAGTAGTCACTTTTTGGTTCTTTCTTTTCTGCTGTTGCTTTTCGTTTTCTAAGTCTTTTCCGTTTTCTAGATGCCTTTTAGGTGTAATTCAGGCCTCTTAGTCAAGGGAGCGCCGTTTACCGCTTTTCGTCGACCCCACACCCTCGCACCTTTCGTTCCTTGCCTTTTTCGTTTGCGTGGGCTTTCCTTCCCACACCCCCGCACCCCTTGCACCTTTCCTTTCTTTCCTTACCTTTTTCGGTTGCCTTGTTCTTTCTTTCAGTCTTGTTAGGTTGGCATTTAGTCAATGCACTCCCGCGGCCTCTTCGGACCTTTAACACTGTACAGCGCAGGGGGCCGGAGCCAGGTGGGGGGTCTCTGGCCAATGAAGACACCCCCCACCTGCACGCAAACGTACATGCGTTTTTCCAATTAAGATTTAATCAAACTCTAAAGCGCTAATGCAAGTCAAGGTCAAGCGGTGTGTAAAGGTCTACCTGCAGTAAAGTGGAACTTCACCAACTGATTCAGCTCTTGTAAAGCGCTAATGCAAGTCAAGGTCTAACTGTTTGTAAAGGTCTAATTGCATGTAAAGTGGAACTTCACAACTGATTCGGCTCTTGCAAGCATCAATCTAAGTGTGTTGGAACCAAGGTTCTAAAAACACATTGCGCCTGGTATTCAGTGCCTTCGGGCACCAAAGGGACTTTAAGCAGCTGCTCCTCGCTAAAGGCAGCTTCCAAATAGCTGTCCTGCGCCAGTCTATTCGCAGAAAGCCAACAATGAACCACGGTTTATTGCTTCCACACGTGTGGACATCGCTCAAAAATGCAAATTCAAGAATCCTCGACGAGGCATACACTCTAAGCTGTTTCCAACACAGCATGTTCAACAAACTGAACCAACTCCCTGTCCGGTAGCAGCTGCCGTTGCAGGGCAATTGCCAGACCTGCCATGGCCCGGAGCTGCCCTGGTGCCTGAAATTGAAGCTTGACGACGGAAGTCAATGAGTCTTCTCCAACTGGCCAAGCAGTGCTTCCAGGCTTGCGTGTCAACATTCTGCTTTTGTCTTCCAACTCTTCACAGTTCTTCGAATTTCGGACCTAACCTTGTACTTGATTCAAGTCCTCCCAACTTCAGTCCTTGCTAGTGATTGTTCTTCTCCGAATGAGTCTAATGAGGTCGAGCTTCCAGGCTATCCACGGCAACTGTGAGGCCCACGGCATCGCCAGGCACAGCGCGGCAGCGGTACACGAAGCGCCGGGCTAAAGTGTCCGTCGGCTTCAGGGCCTCCCTGGGCGAAGGCTCGAACGAGAACACAATTGAAGCTACTAGTAGCCAGGGCGCTACTAGGTTGGAGGCCATTGCTTGTAGGTTGGAGGCCATTACTACTAGTAACAAGAAGCTACTAAAAAAAGTCCAGAGTCGAATTCATGTTTCATGTCTTATCCTCTAACACTCCAAATTTCCATTCCCACAGGTCTGATGAGAGGCTCTTAGTTGAATTTCAGAGTTCGAGTCAAGGATTCCCAACCCAAACCCGGCAGAGTGGCTGCGAGAAGTTGTGAAAGAGATGCTCACCTCAGCAGTTTTGGAACTGAGACTGCGTGCTTTGATTGACTGAGACCGGTGAGGAAGGAAGCTGTGCTGCTCGTGGACAGCTGTCAGCTTACTGCAAATCAGAATGTAAATCAAAAAGAAAAAACAAGAAGACAGCCACGATGACCATACAGCCAAGGTGCCTTGAAACTCTCTGAGGATTTCCTGTGTGAAGCACGAAGGAACCCTGCTTTAAACATATTGCGACAGCAGAGAAACTGTGGAAGAACAGGCGCGCAAGCAGATTGGGCAACAGCGGAGAACCAAAGAAATAGGGTCTTTCTAATTCCTACTTAATACTACACCACGAGGCGCAATCCTCCTGGAGAAGAGAATAGTCAATACGGGTAAGATCCAGCCTTGAGTCGAAAGAACTGCCCGAGACGCTCTTCTCCAGTATTGCCTTCTCCCCAGCCAGCTTGGTGCTGTTTTTTCGCCTTGGAACATTCAATCGGCATCGATCGCCATATTTGGTTCTTCAATGGCTCGCCGCACCTTTCTTTCCAGGTTCGGGGCAAATTCTCCTAGAAAGAGCCAGTTCTTGCTCGCTCGCGGCGTTACAAACAGAAGCCGCTAAAGCTACGTGGCAGCGGATTTTAATGGTCTTTGCATCACTTGCATCGTCTCCTCCAATACCAACCACCAGAAGACACACTGGGATCAACACTCTGGCACAAACAATCGCTTTACGACACAGCCCACCTCTATCTCTCTCTCTCTCTCTTTCTCTTTTTCTCTCTGTTTGCATTTTTCTGTTGTATTTACACTGAATTCTGCACATTCTGATGTTTCTGGTCGAAATTTTAGATGGATTGCGGAGGGACCTTTTTTTTAACATTGTACATACCCCCCAAAGCTCTACCTTGTTCATATCTTTGCAATACGCGTTCCAATCAAGGTTGGTGAATCAGTGGATGAACACATACGTTGTTGATACGTTGAATAAAAAGCTGATAGGTGTTGTTAACTATTGATTGCTGGAGAACAAAGAAATGTCTATTTTGGTTGTTTTTTCGTGATTCAAGGTTGCATAAGCCAAATCAAAACACTAAAAAACCATAGAAAAGAATGTCATTTTGATCACCAACAAAAACAAACAACTCAATGAAAACAAAAAACATCTGTCCGGCTGAAACCAAAGATTCTCCTCAGAGTTGTGGTTTATTTGGTTTTTGGTTTTGGTTTTGGAGCTTTCCCAGGAAAACAAAAATGCCGAGCCACTTTGGAGACATAGAGTTAGCCGTTTTTGTACTTTTTGTTTTCCCCCAGGAGTCCAACAAAATAAGTTTCCAATATACTGCATCCGTATTCAACCTGGAATGTTGAATCCTGAATCTAAAGAAATCCTGACACCATCTGAAGCCCAAAGCTTGAAATATAGAATATAACAACATGAAACACATTTTCTTTACAATTGTAATTGACATCAGTGGTTCTAAGTATAACATAGTCTTTCTGGAAAACACATGTAAAAGTGTTTTTATTAGGACCAGGAAATAGGGCATATGAATGGCTAACCTGCAGAAAATACACCGAGGTTGGTGGGAAGTCTTTAATGTAATTTTCGAATATGAAAAAGTAGCCGCGCGTGATAAAATAGATAATGTTGAAAGATAAAAAAAAGTCAGGAGGTCAAGGGTTTGAACAACGATTGCGCAGGTCTATGAATGCACCTTGAATCAAAAACGGCAATTGCGCATGCATTGGCAAACCTCAGCTAACAAACAAATACACCCGTCTCACCGATAGTATTATCAAAAGTGTTCTGCTTCATCTCACGGCCTCTCACGGCAAAAACTTGTCCTGCAGCGCGCGCGTAGATTCAATTGGCGTCCGCCTCCAATTTCCGTCGGTAGCTGCCGCGAGCACGCTGGGCAAGCCGGCGCCCTTCAAAAACACACGGGGGCAAAGACGATGGCTTACAAGGCGGCCGACCTCGTCCAAAGGACAGCGGTCAACCTCGTCTTCGGTGGCTTGTTCCACAATTCGCGGAGAGCTTCGCCCGCCGGATATCGGACGTGGGCAACCACACCTTTCCCAAACTTACGATACGCTGCTTGGCGGGAACTTTAAAGCCTCCAAAATTAGGCTCCGGTCTAAGTGTTGTAGCCGGCGCCTGGGCCGCAGCACGTTCGAGCTCCTCGAGCTGGCGCGCTTCAAACCGGCCTGCCCGAGAAACTCGTCAATTAAATCCAAAACTTGCGAATCCAAAACTTGCAAACCTTTAACAATCTTTGGAGCGTCGTTTGCCATGTGAGCGCACTCACTGAGCTTGATGCTCCAAAGCATTGCCCCGTTTTGCGTCGGGTCAACCGAATTTAAAAACAGCCTGTTGCGCCTTTTCGGCTGCAGCGCAGGCAAGACCTCGTACCAGGCGAGCCTCCACAGAAAGAACGTGGCCACGGTAATCTGAAAGTGAGGCTCCTCGGGAAAGCTGAGTTTTTGCCCAAAGAAGACCGAACCTCCAGCTGACCCAGTTGAGGTCAACTGGGTCTGCAGATTTGGCGTGGCCCCTTGCGCGGTCATACCAGTAGTGGTCGTCGTCGTACTAGTAGCAGTGGTACTGGCGGCGGTGGTGGTGATAGTAGTGGTAGTGCGCTCAATTGAACCCAGTTGACACATAGCCGTAGCAGTAGCAGTAGCAGAAGCAGCAACAGTAGTAGTGGTAGTGGTAGTGGTAGTGGTGGTAGTAGTGGTAGTAGTGGTAGTAGTAGTAGTAGTAGTAGTAGCAGTAGCAGTAGCAGTCGTAGTCGTAGTCGTCGTCGTCGTCGTCGCCGCCGCCGCCGTCGTCGTCGTCGTCGCCGCGGCAGTGGCAGTGGCAGTGGCAGTATTAGTAGCAGAAGCAGTAACAGTAGTAGTGGTAGTAGTAGTAGTAGCAGCAGCAGCAGCAGTAGCAGTAGTAGTGCAGTAGTAGTGGTGGTGGTGGTAGTAGTAGGAGGGGTAGTGGTGGTAGTAGTAGTAGTAGTAGCGGCAGTGGCAGTAGCCAGTTGACCAGGGGGCTGCGCTAAATCTCTGGAGATCAACTGGGTCAACTGGGTCCGGAGATTTAGCGTGGCCCCCTGCGCGGTCGCAATGTATGCGCTTCTTGCTTTGCTTGTCATTGGCTGTAGTATAGACACTGTTTTTACTATCATTGATTGCAACCACTTTCTGAAAAGAAATTATAGGGGGTGGCTTTGGAAGGCAGTGACACGAGCTGGGGTTTAAGTATATAGAGCTAAGTTCTTTAAACGCAGTTGCGATGTTGACAATGAGTTTAACAAACAATGCACCAGATGTCTTTGTTTAGCCCGCTCCCTCCCTACTTTAAGTAAGGGAGAGGTAGCTAGTAGCTTAACTAGCTACTAGTATGCAGGCAGGATAGCTCACGCTTCTTCAAGGAAGATCCCCCTCGCACAAATGATTTGGTTTCTAGATGTTTAGGATTCCACATTCACCTCTGAACATGAAGTCAGTGCTCCCAAAGCAAACTGCTGAGCTTTCAACAGGTGAACTTGGTTCCTTCATTGGCATAGTCACAGTCATTGGTACCCCAGCCGTATCCCAAATCTCACCAGCGATCGTCCGAGATCGCTTCGACTCATGCACGCGCTTTGTTTGCGGCGTCAACTCCTCACACTGATCGCCTGAGCTGTTGGACCGTGACCGGCGAGCCGGAGACGGAGATCCTGCACCTCCAGCAGGCGCAACAGGATTCACTGGCGTCACTGGAGTTGGAGGCGGCGGCTTGGGTGGTGCGACAGGAGAAAAGAAACTTAGAGCCAGGAAGGCTGAACAATAAAAAATACAGGATAATAGAAAGGGTAAAAGAGAAAGACCTAAGGAAAATTAAGTTAATGCTCAATGGTTTTTGGATAATATGACCCATCAATGTAATTAGCGAGAATGTGGATTTACATTAGACATTAAAAGGGTAGTATATCGTATATCGACAAACCAGACCGCTCAAAGCAAGGACAATGAAATTATCCGTACTTTAGATAATTGCATTGCCTTACTGTCAGATACAATAGTAGTTGTAAATGAAATTTTGCAAAATACAAATACTTATAGTAAAAATTACAGAAGTAGTTGGTATATGTACTACGTCATGAATATTACTCAACAGTATTGGAAAGGATGTCAGAATCCAGAGCATTAAATAGAACTAGGCAATGGATACTAAACAGTATTGCAAAGGATGTCAGAAGAACAAAAGATTAGATAGGTTTACTGAAGCGCTTGAAACCTGCGACAGTTGTAGAGCCAAACAATCAAGAAGTTATTAGAATCACCAACAAAACAAAAGAATGGAACGAAACCAACCCTGAAAGAGTAAGGAAGCAAATGAAAGAGCAACCGCAAAGGCACCCGAAAAGAATTACTGCTCGTTCTGTGAATATGATGTCCAGTGATGTTTAAAAAACCAACGCGAAAAGGGAACCTCTATCAAGAGAATGCCAGAAAACAAACTCACCCAGAATAGTTTGAAAACGAAGGTGAACAAAACAATAAATACTTTGGAATGCATACGTTTTTGCTGTACTGCCTTCAAATGTCCTCAAATTTGGCCGTATCAATGGAGACCACAAATAAGGACTGAAGCACATAAACACAACGCAAGTAAATTACCTCTTAGGGCTGTCTAATGTTTAGGTGCGTCTGAAAAAATGCAATCTGCTTCGCAAAATGCCTTGCAGCCCCAAAGGTCTTTGGGGGGGGCGCCGTATATATACTGTATATATATATATA